ACTGGCCCGCCTGTTCCCCAGACCTGAATCCAATTGAGCACATCTGGGACATCATGTCTCGCTCCATCCACCAACGCCACGTTGCACCACAGACTGTCCAGGAGTTGGCGGATGCTTTAGTCCAGGTCTGGGAGGAGATCCCTCAGGAGACCATCCGCCACCTCATCAGGAGCATGCCCAGGCGTTGTAGGGAGGTCATACAGGCACGTGGAGGCCACACACACTACTGAGCCTCATTTTGACTTGTTTTAAGGACATTACATCAGAGTTGGATCAGCCTGTAGTGTGGTTTTCCACTTTAATTTTGAGGGTGACTCCAAATCCAGACCTCCATGGGTTGATACATTTGATTTCCATTGATAATTTTTGTGTGATTTTGTTGTCAGCACATTCAACTATGTAAAGAAAAAAGAATTTAATAAGATTATTTAATTCATTCAGATCTAGGATGTGTTATTTTAGTGTTCCCTTTATTTATTTTTAGCAGTGTACTTTGTTTTGGCCCAGCCTGGTCCCAGAGCTGTTTAGGAGAAGACTATACAGCACAAACAGATCTGGGACCAGGCTATCAGAGGCCCTAGATGCTTTTCTAGACTTTTTAAACCATTATGAGTTGGCCAGGTACTGTGTTAGTGTATCTGTGTCTAGTATCTGTCTCCATTAGCCCAGAATGTCCTGGGATAGCATGGCTTCTGCTCTGAGTCTATCTGATATCTGTGTATGAGAAGTCTCTGTGGTCTTTGATCTGTGTGTATGAGCAGCATGCTGTGCCTGGCAGCAGTTGGACAAAGCCCAGGCTAATAAGAGAGCTGCCTGTCTAGTGCCTGCCATAAAAAGAGATAGGCAGACACCCCAGGGAGAACATTAGAGAGCACTGCAAACTATTCATCTAGTGCTTTAGTCTGCTTCAAAGTACATACAGTGCCTTCAGAAAGTATTCATACCCCTTGACTTATTCCACATTTTGTTGTGTTACAGCATTATTTTCTAAATTGATTTATTTTCTCACCCATCTACACATAATACTGCATAATGGCAAAGTGAAAACATGTTTTTAGATATTTTAGCAAATCTATTGAAAATGAAAAGCATGAATATCTCGTTTACATAAGTATTCACACCACTCAGTCAATACTTTGTAGAAGCACCTTTGGCAGCCATTACAGCTGTGAGTCTTTCTGGGTAAGTCTGTAAGAGCTTTCCACACCTGGATTGTGCAACATTTGCACATTATTCTTTAAAAGATTATAGGATTCCTCTAGGATTTTTCCTCAAGGATTTTTCCTCAAGGATTTTTCCTGTGCTTAGCTACATTCCGTTCCTTTTTTATCCTGAAAAACTCCCCAGTTCTTAAAGATTTTAAGCATGCCAATAACATGATGCAGCCACCACTTTGCTTGAAAATATTGAGAGTGGTGCTCAGTTATGTGTTGTACAGTGGGGGAAAAAAGTATTTAGTCAGCCACCAATTGTGCAAGTTCTCCCACTTAAAAAGATGAGAGAGGCCTGTAATTTTCATCATAGGTACACGTCAACTATGACAGACAAATTGAGAAAAGAAATCCAGAAAATCACATTGTAGGATTTTTAATGAATTTATTTGCAAGTTATGGTGGAAAATAAGTATTTGATCACCTACAAACAAGCAAGATTTCTGGCTCTCACAGACCTGTAACTTCTTCTTAAAGAGGCTCCTCTGTCCTCCACTCGTTACCTGTATTAATGGCACCTGTTTGAACTTGTTATCAGCACAAGAACGGTGAGCAAAAATCCCAGAACCACACGGGGGGACCTAGTGAATGACCTGCAGAGAGCTGGGACCAAAGTAACAAAGCCTACCATCAGTAACACACTACGCCGCCAGGGACTCATATCCTGCAGTGCCAGACGTGTCCCCCTGCTTAAGCCAGTACATGTCCAGGCCCGTTTGAATTTTGCTAGAGTGCATTTGGATGATCCAGAAGAGGATTGGGAGAATGTCATATGGTCAGATGAAACCAAAATAGAACTTTTTGGTAAAAACTCAACTCGTCGTGTTTGGAGGACAAAGAATGCTGAGTTGCATCCAAAGAACACCATACCTACTGTGAAGCATGGGGGTGGAAACATCATGCTTTGGGGCTGTTTTTCTGCAAAGGGACCAGGACGACTGATCCGTGTAAAGGAAAGAATGAATGGGGCCATGTATCGTGAGATTTTGAGTGAAAACCTCCTTCCATCAGCAAGGGCATTGAAGATGAAACGTGGCTGGGTCTTTCAGCATGACAATGATCCCAAACACACCGCCCGGGCAACGAAGGAGTGGCTTCGTAAGAAGCATTTCAAGGACCTGGAGTGGCCTAGCCAGTCTCCAGATCTCAACTCCATAGACAATCTTTGGAGGGAGTTGAAAGTCCGTGTTGCCCAGCGACAGCCCCAAAACATCACTGCTCTAGAGGAGATCTGCATGGAGGAATGGGCCAAAATACCAGCAACAGTGTGTGAAAACCTTGTGAAGACTTACAGAAAACGTTTGACCTGTGTCATTGCCAACAAAGGGTATATAACAAAGTATTGAGAAACTTTTGTTATTGACCAAATACTTATTTTCCACCATAATTTGCAAATATATTCATAAAAAATCCTACAATGTGATTTTCTGGATTTTTTTTCCTCATTTTGTCTGTCATAGTTTACGTGTACCTATGATGAAAATTACAGGCCTCTCTCATCTTTTTTAGTGGGAGAACTTGCACAATTGGTGGCTGACTAAATACTTTTTTTCCCCACTGTATTGGATTTGACCCAAACATAACATTTTGTATTCAGGACAAAAAGTTAATTGCTTTGCCACATTTTTTATTCTGTACAGGCTCCCTTATTTTCACTCTATCATTTAGGTTAGTATTTTGGAGTAACTACAATGTTGTTGATCCATCCTCAGTTTTCTCTGTAACTGTTTTAAAGTCACCATTGGTAAAATCCCTGAGCGGTTTCCTTCCTCTCCGGCAACTGAGTTAGGAAGGACGCCTGTATCTTTGTAGTGATGGGGTGTATTGTTACACCATCCAATTAATAACTTCACCATGCTCAAAGAGATGTTCAATGTCTGCTTCTTTTTTATTACCAATAGGTGCCCTCCTTTGCGAGGCATTGAACAATCTCCCTGGTCTTTGTGGTTGAATCTGTGTTTTAAATTCACTGCTTGACTGAGGGACCTTACAGATAATTGTATGTGTGGGGTACAGAGATGAGGAAGTCATTCATAAATCATGTTAAACACTATTATTGCACACAGAGGTTCCTCGATGAACCCCACCTCCTATGGGGTTCTTCTAAGTACCTTTTGGGGGCATTTCTCAGTGCCAAGAACCTTAAGGTTCTTCAAAGAACTTTGAGGATCTTAGAATAACCCTTGTTGAACCCCTAATTTTTTAGAGTGTAGGATTAGGAGCTATGTACAGTATGTAACAGGTGCAACTTGTGCAAACAAGATGCTCCTAAAAATACCCCTCAAGAAAACATGGGAGGAACAGCGAGGACAAGAAGAAGAGGTTGTTTGAGTAGATGTCGCTGGGTCAACCCAGAAGGATATGGGGATATAAAGACTTAATTGTTTGTGTTGTTGTTCTGTTCTCCTTTATGGGGTATAGGCTTACAAGAGCAGTACCTCTCACACACATGATATCACCTAAAGTTTAAATCAATGTTCTGTACGAATGAGTACTGTAAAGTAAAATGGACTGTAAATGTCAGTACTATACATTATTTTTTCATTATCTTCCCCATAAAAATGTATCCTAGAAATGATTTAGGTAAAAGTAAAGTTGAGGGTATAAGTTAATACCATGCAGCCAATCACAGTGTGTTTGGAGAGGTATCTGGTTCTTCCTCTACTGTTCAAGTGTGACAGCTGTGACTGACTCTCCTAGACCAGTGAACTGTCACAGAGGAAGACGGGGATTGCTGAAATGCCAAAGCACTCTTATCTTTCCCTGCGGCCAATTTGAAAGAACTCCAAGGCACTTATGAGCTACAGAGGAGTCGAGACAAGCTGGATGATATGCCACTGTTGAATACAAGGCTATCTGATGCCCCTCTTCAGATTGTGAACAATGTCTTGTGGGATTTGTTGACATGCTCCTCCCTACTGTGTTGTATCACTGACAGAACACTTCAGTACAAATAATATGACACTCCTCCCAGGGACAATCTCTTTTCACAGGGGCTTAAACACTCAGACTATATTTGTCTGCTTTACTGCTTTAATAACTGCATTATTAATAACTTTAACTTTAATAATAGCTTATTTTGTCTCTGGAGATCAGAGTTACATGACCCCATCTCTCAGGTGTTATGGTTCATAGTGGAGACACGATTCATAATCAAGAGTGGTGGTGAATGGCTAAACTAAGTGTGGGCCTTGGCGACGCAATTATTTTAAACATGAATTTGGTCGGAGGAATGGTAACATAAAAACGATTACTATGCCATGATTTATTCCTATAAATATTACTCTCTCAAGCCTTATTTGAACTGCTGTCTTGAGCAAATGTAAGTAATCCTTCCAGAATTAAATGAGCAATTCCAGTCAAAGATCATGTTTTTGTTGTCCACCTTCACTTCCTTGTGCTTAAACTGACCCCAACTCCCCAAACTGCCTTCCCTGGCTGTAGCCTACCTCTCAGAACAGTGTTTGAAACAGGAACAGACGTCTTGGAGGGGGTGCCACCTTCTCGCCCATAACCCATATATAGTCTTATCAACGGTAAAATGTCTTGGATCAGCGAATCGCCGAGGAGAGCCATAAAAAAGACAGGACCCCCGAAAGAGAGCAGCTGGCGTCGTTTCCCCAAAAAGCATTTGGTATCCATGGGGATCCAGTAACTCCTCTGCTATAGCACATATTTGACAAGTTACAGTCGGCTCGAGCTTGCACTACATCTTCAAGTTCAGTGTGGTTCAGACGCGCGGAGCTTCTCAGGGTTTTACTCAAAGTTTGTTTTTTGTCAGTTGGTGAGGCCACCCCAACAACACAGCAGCCATGGACGCCATCAAGAAGAAGATGCAGATGCTTAAGCTAGACAAGGAGAATGCCTTGGACAGAGCTGAGGGAGCTGAGGGAGACAAAAAGGCAGCGGAGGACAAGAGCAAACAGGTCGGCATCCATAGAGAAATCGTGTTCTGTCTTATTGCGCACGGGTGCCATTGGCACTGTGCGTCAAATGTTTGGGCACGGAGTGCTTTGGAGCGTTCTCTCTCTCTCGATATTGATTAAATTAAGTCTCAGATGATGAAGAGTATGAGGATCAGTATTGATTGTTGTATTTAATCGTATTGGGAATATATTTGTTTTTGCGGCGTGACAATGTTTTATTCTTGGACTCCAGGGAGGTTTAGAAAACGTTTATTGTTTGGTCGATTAATATCACTGCGTTATGCGTGATATAGCCTTAGATTATATATTTTTTTACCATAAAACATGAATAGCGTAGTCTATTGATTAACGTATGCCACTCTAGTGTTGTGAGTGGATTGAATAAATGAAATGTAAATACTTGTCCAAAGACTAAGACGATATCACGAAGCATTTGTAAGTGTTTGCCTTTTTTCCATAACTCTTGGCTTTTGTTTTCTTCCCTTTTTTGTCTGTTTCTGGCTGTGCGTTCGCGCTCCTGTGTGTGCTTCTTTGCTGCTCATGGCACACCCCAATTGACTGATGATATTCTCCACCAACTATCAGCTTGAGGATGACCTGGTAGCGCTGCAGAAGAAGCTGAAGGGAACAGAGGATGAGTTGGACAAGTACTCTGAGTCTCTTAAGGATGCCCAGGAGAAACTTGAACTCGCTGAGAAGAAAGCCACAGATGTAAGTTTGAAGAGGCGCGTTGGCATAAACCTGTCCGAAGTGTTAGTGGGCGTCAGGGGGGCCACAAACAATCTGCTAACATTGAACCTCAACATACATATACATATAAGTTAAGATTATTTTATTATTTCAGTTCGGAATAGCCTACACAATTGTTTATGGTTAATACCTGCGTCTTCATTAAGCTAAACCATAGGCCTGCCATGCGCAATATTCCACGTGTTCATGGAAACCAAATAAGACTGAGTAGACCAACTGTAGGCCTAACAAATGTGCCTTGTGTGCCACCCTCCTCGAAGATCCAAGCAGAAGGTTAAATTTAGCTGTGTGCTTTATATGGCCAAGTTACAGCTGACAGGTTTAGGCAGTGCAACATGTGCACCCCGCAACCTGTTGGGTTAAAATGGGGGCCTGTTTAGAATTTCAGTTAAAAGTTTGGTGGAAGTTTTTGAATATTTTAAATAGCTTTAACTTAGATTTATAGGTGCCATACATTATATATTCACTCGTCAAATGAAAACGTTTACTTCTCCTTTTATTGAGAATGTTGTAGGGGACGCCAATAAATAAACGTTTGTTCTTATAGGAAACATGCATCTAGATATTTTTATTGTGTCAGTTTAGAAAGAACACCAAATGATGATGATAGTAATTATAGTAAAAAAATATTTATACAAAATTGTACAAAGAAATAAATACTTTAAGTTGCCTATACAGTGAGGGGAAAAAAGTATTTGATCCCCTGCTGATTTTGTACGAATGCCCACTGACAAAGAAATGATCAGTCTATAATTTTAATGGTAGGTTTATTTGAACAGTGAGAGACAGAATAACATCAAAAAAATCCTGAAAAACGCATGTCAAAAATTTTATAAATTGATTTGCATTTTAATTAGGGAAATAAGTATTTGACCCCCCCTCAATGAGAACGGTGAGGAATCAGCCCAGAACTACACGGGAGGATCTTGTCAATGATCTCAAGGCAGCTGGGACCATAGTCACCAAGAAAACAATTGGTAACACACTACGCCGTGAAGGACTGAAATCCTGCAGCGCCCGCAAGGTCCCCCTGCTCAATAAAGCACGTATACAGGGTCGTCTGAAGTTTGCCAATGAACATCTGAAGGATTCAGAGGAGAACTGGGTGAAAGTGTTGTGGTCAGATGAGACCAAAATCGAGCTCTTTGGCATCAACTTAACTCGTCGTGTTTGGAGGAGGAGGAATGCTGCCTATGACCCCAAGAACACCATCCCCACCGTCAAACATGGAGGTGGAAACATTATGCTTTGGGGGTGTTTTTCTCCTAAGGGGACAGGACAACTTCACCGCATCAAAGGGACGATGGACGGGGCCATGTACCGTCAAATCTTGGGTGAGAACCTCCTTCCCTCAGCCAGGGCATTGAAAATGGGTCGTGGATGGGTATTCCAGCATGACAATGACCCAAAACACACGGCCAAGGCAACAAAGGAGTGGCTCAAGAAGAAGGACATTAAGGTCCTGGAGTGGCCTAGCCAGTCTCCAGACCTTAATCCCATAGGAAATCTGTGGAGGGATCTGAAGGTTCGAGTTGCCAAACGTCAGCCTCGAAACCTTAATGACTTGGAGAAGATCTGCAGAGAGGAGTGGAACAAAATCCCTCCTGAGATGTGTGCAAACCTGGTGGCCAACTACAAACGTCTGACCTCTGTGATTGCCAACAAGGGTTTTGCCACCAAGTACTAAGTCATGTTTTGCAGAGGGGTCAAATACTTATTTCCCTCATTAAAATGCAAATCAATTTATAACATTTTTGACATGCGTTGTTCTGGTCTCTCACTGTTCAAATAAACCTACCATTAAAATTATAGACTGATCATGTCTTTGTCAGTGGGCAAACGTACAAAATCAGCAGGGGATCAAATACTTTTTCCCCTCACTGTAGGTCTATCAATATTATGAATTGGGATAATCATGTTACTTTTGGCACCATGTATGAGATATCTTTCAAAATGAAATGAATATCTTTAAAGACATTTTAAATGTTTATTTTAAAACGTTTATTATGGGTTAAATTCCCCCTCAATAATAAATTAACAAGATGCGCAATCACAGCACCACTAGCATGAGCCTGTAAGGGGGGAGGGGCATTATAGGCTAATGGCCAATAAGTCATCATGACATAGTCATATTATCTCACTACGATACAATAAATAAAAACCTATTTAACAGAAGATTTCGGGATATTTTGAGACAATTTTGCGCAATGTGTGAAATGTGTTACTTCCGGTGTCATTTAGCGCACGTCCCAGCCTCCCCAGTAGCTGTAGAAAAAAAACACAGGGACGGGAGCAGATTTTCGCATCCCGGCATCGTTGCGCGTTTCTGGCCCGAGAACCGTTAGAAAAAGGCGTAGGCAATAGAAAATAGGCAGTAAACAAGCGAAATGGCCGGGCTAACGTCGCTGGAAGCTGTAAAAAGGAAAATAAAAACACTACAAGAGCAGGCAGACGGTGCAGAAGAGTCGGCAGAGAGGCTGCAGAAGGAACTGGGTCTGGAGAGGGATGCGAGGGATTCCGTAAGCCCTAGCTAATAATTTAAGACAATTCGTCTGCAGTATGCCTGACGACAGTATTAGTACACATTTGATCAACACGCTTGGTAGAACGATAGACAGAATATGGATGTTTTTACAGTGCAAAAAAATATAAGTTTTGTCTGTCATGTGATACGCGTAAAAGGATGAAGAAATGGGAAAGTGAGAAATGATTTAATGGTAAAACGTGCCAGGCAGGCTCCAAAATAAACACATTAGCCAAGGCTGCTGCAGTTTCAGCATGCTCCAGTCTAGTCGATCATACACTATCATCCTATGCCTCCTGTAGCTACATCTATTTACATAGTAGGCATCTTATTATGTTTATATTGGTCAGTGCCATTCCAAACATACCAATCAGGCCTATATAAAATGTATAGTTTATAAAATCTTGTTTATGTAATGTTATATATAATGCTGGAGTTTAGGATGGAATTACAGCATGGTCTGGGCCCTTATCCCTTTCCCTCACATTTAAATCTTAGTCCCCTATAGTGTTAAGAAACCCCCCACAGAGGTGTCCAAAAGTGACCCCCAACCTCCTCCATTACACTACACATCTCTCCAGATACTGTATCTGGTGTGCATTATGTAAGAAAGTGTGACTGTTTGAGTGTGCAACAGGTTGACATTGTGGTTTCTCCATGTTGTGCTCTCTTAGGCTGAGGCTGATGTAGCTTCCCTGAACAGACGTATCCAGCTGGTTGAGGAGGAGTTGGATCGTGCTCAAGAGCGTCTGGCCACAGCTCTGACGAAGCTGGAGGAGGCTGAGAAGGCTGCTGATGAGAGCGAGAGGTGGGCAGCAGCACTCAGAGACTCAGACTCTGTATCATACAGTACACTCTTAGAAAAAAAGGTGCTATCTAGAACCAAAAAGGGTTATTTGGCTGTCCCCATAGGAGAACCCTTTGAAGAACCCCTTTTGGATTCCAAGTAGAACCCTTTCCACAGAGGGATCTACATGGAACCCAAAATAGTTCTACATGGAACCAAAAAGGGTTTTACCTGGAACCAAAAAGGGCTGTCCTATGGGGACAGCCGCAGAACCCTTTTGGAACAATTATTTCTAAGAGTGTAGACACAGACATCATCAGACCCGTCAGTCTCAGTCTCAAACACAGTCATCAACACCAAACCCATATAGATGACATGCAGACATCAATCCACATGACCACAGTAATATCATTCCACTCTTAAAATTGTTCAGTTAATGATGTGTTATAAAGATTTTGTAGAATTTCCGGCAGTAGTTTTAGAGTGCTCCCGAGCAAAAACAGGTCCTTGAAAATTGTGCACAATTGTGTACAACGACATCCATTTCATATGATATGTTGCATCCTGCAAAAAAAAAAAAACATCTGCAATTCGTTATGATATAGTATGTTATGAATTCCAATTCGTACAATATGTGACACATTTGTAAGTGCTTAAGATCCCGTTCAATCTCTTCAGACAACTTGCAATGTCCTCCTATTCCTGACATATATTCCCCCCTGTCTGTTCCGTCCTCCAGAGGCATGAAGGTAATTGAAAACAGGGCATCGAAGGATGAAGAGAAGATGGAGCTACAGGAGATCCAGCTGAAGGAGGCCAAGCACATCGCTGAGGAGGCTGACAGGAAATACGAGGAGGTGAGTTTCCTTACATTCCTTAGGCTGCTACTTTATTATATTGGCTACTTCTGAGGTCCTCGTGTGTGTGTGTGTGTGTGTGTGTGTGTGTGTGTGTGTGTGTGTGTGTGTGTGTGTGTGCATGAGAGCGTGCGTGTGTGGGAAACTGACAGCATATAGACCTGTACATAAAACTAAACATAGAACATTTTGATTGCTTGGTGCACCAATGTGGTATACTGATGTGTTGTCCTATTATGGGTGAAAACAGGTCGCCCGTAAGCTGGTCATCATTGAGAGTGATCTGGAACGTACAGAGGAGCGCGCTGAGCTGTCAGAAGGGTAAGAACTTTGGAACCAGCCACAAAATACAGCACAATTTACTGCTTTGGAGACAACCTACTGTTACTCTTTATTATTACGCTTATTACCCTGTTATAACTCCTGTTTCTCCCTCCCGTCGGTCCTCCTCTGGCATTTGTTCCTTCCCCTCTGTTCCTTCAACCATACCTAAAACACCAGCAAATGCTCTGAGCTAGAGGAAGAGTTGAAGACAGTCACAAACAACCTGAAGTCTCTTGAGGCTCAGGCAGAGAAGGTAGGTGTCTGTTTAGACAGGTGTATGTCTTCTCAGGTTGTTGCAGTCAGGGGTTATATCCCCATTGCCTGCTAGTATAGCCATAGAGATAAAGTGAGGTAACTCTATTGAGTAGGCCCACTCATTTCTGCCTGTTATCCATTGAACCAGTTAATGTCGGTAGCGTTGTGATGATGGCTCTCTGACCTGCGCTCCACTATGTCACTACAGTACTCACAGAAGGAGGACAAGTACGAGGAGGAGATCAAGGTTCTCACAGACAAACTAAAGGAGGTGAGTTCCCTTTAGCGTAGCATATTAGCCCCTGTTTCCTATTCACTTTACCAAGTGGGACATTAGCGTTAGCATGTTAGCCACTGGATCTTCGATAAAGTAAGACCATAGAAAGGGTGGAGGACACCAGACATTGTATTATATATCTATATCTATGTTGGAACATATGTTTTGGTGTGATGAGGATGGGAGACATTCATCACATCTTGTCTGCCTCTTGTGCTACAGGCTGAGACCCGTGCTGAGTTCGCTGAGAGGTCCGTGGCCAAGCTTGAGAAGACCATTGATGATCTGGAGGGTATGGACCTTTTCTTTTATTTCATATATTGTGAAGCATTTTCTATGTGAAAATCTGAGGTGTTGTATAGTAAAACAGAACATATGTGACAGACCGGCTCGATTCGGTCTTATGTAGCAAAATTTGAAATAGTGTTTTTTACATTGGATAAATGTGGAGAATCAGGCCTCCTGAGTGGCGCAGCGGTCTAAGGCGTTGCAGTGCTTGAGGCGTCACTACAGATCCGGGTTCGATACCGGGCTGTGTCGCAGCCGGCCGCAACCGGGAGAACCCATGAGGTGACGCACAATTGGCCCAGCGTCGTCCGGGTTAGGGGAGGGTTTGGCCGGCCAGGATGTCCTTATCCCATCGCACTCTAGCGACTACTATGGCGGACCGGGCACATGCACGCTGACACGGTTGTCAGTTGTACAGTGTTTCCTCCGACACATTGGTCTAAGGCACTGCATCGCAGTGCTAGCTGTACCACTAGAGATCCTGGTTCGAATCTAGGCTCTGTCGTAGCTGGCCGTGACCGGGAGACCCATGGGGCGGCGCACAATTGGCCCAGCGTCGTCCAGGGTAGGGGAGGGAATGGCCGGCAGGGATGTAGCTCAGTTGGTAGAGCATGGCGTTTGCAATGCCAGGGTTGTGGGTTCAATTCCCACGGGGGGCCAGTATGAAAAAATAAATAATAATAATGTATGCACTCACTAATTGTAAGTCGCTCTGGATAAGAGCGTCTGCTAAATGACTAAAATATAAAAATGTAAAAATGTGCAGCTGGCTTCCGGGTTATGCGGGCACTGTTTCAGGAAGCAGTGCGGCTCGGTTGGGTTGTGTTTCGGAGGAGGCAAGACTCTCGACCTTCGCCTCTCCCGTGTCTGTACGGGAGTTGCAGCGATGGGACAAGACTGTAACTACCAATTTTGGATAAAAAGAAACAGAATAGAGCTAAGCACAGGCAAAACCCTAGAGGAAAACCTGGTTCAGTCTGCTTTCCAACAGACACTGGGAGACAAATTCACCTTTCAGCAGGACAATAACCTAAAACACAAGGCCAAATATACACTGGAATTACTTACCAAGATGACATTTAATGTTCCTGAGTGGCCTAGTTACAGTTTTGACTTAAATCGGCTTGAAAATCTATGGCAAGACTGGAAAATGGCTGTCTAGCAATGATCAACAACCAAGACAAGAGCTTGAAGAATTTTTAAAAGAGTAATGTGCAAATATTGTCAAGTCTAACCTTTCATCACCTCCTCTGTGTTGTCATCAGATACTGTATCTACATTCTGCACAGTCAGCTCTGTGCTGGGCAGACTAGGCCAGTGCCATGGCTGACACACAGTCAGTGTTTGTTAGGCTAGTGCAGGCCAGGGAAAGACATTTCTCATGCTGCTGTTGGTGTGACTGTGTTACTGTAGCTGTGGAAAGACAAAGCATTCACAATGGAGCTCTATATCATTTGGGTGGAGACCATGTTGTCATTTCCTTCTGGAAAAGAAAGCAGCTACACACTATGTCACTCCGATGTAATATATGTCTTAATTAGATACAAACATGTCGACAGCAAGGTGCCTTCATCAGGGTTTCAGTTAGTAATTTCCTGCTTGGTCTAAACAATCTAACAGGGCATTAGTGGCCTGTGCACATCCTATTTTTACCCTATTATTTTTTGGTTTGATATTGTATTTTATTTCGTTCAGTTCTGTTCTCGGACAATCCTTTGTTTTTTCCTACCTTTTCACCTCCTTTCTTTGCTCTGTCTATCATGTTGCTGTCCCCACCCTTCATTATCACCCCATCGATGTGTTCTCTTCCACTCCTCTCCTCCTCCTCCACTCCACCCATAATAGATGAGTTGTATGCACAGAAACTGAAGTACAAGGCCATCAGCGAGGAACTGGACCACGCTCTCAACGACATGACCTCCATGTAATCTATCACCTGCTTGTGTCTGCTTGTGTGTTGTGCATAGGCCCCACCCACTCACCATTTTACTGCTACTCCCTCTAGTAGCATATGTTTTGTCTGTTTCATCTGTTTGGATTTTTCCGCTCACATTTTAGTTTCAGTGCCTACTAATACCAACTCACTTTACGCTTCTGCCATGCAACAGCAAATAGCTCTTGCCTTTGTAGTTTGCTAGTGCCTTTTTAGTTAGATTCTATATAGTTTTCTCAACCTAACACGCATTGTACAATTAAAGTTGTACAATCACAATCCCTTTTTGTAAGCTTTTAGAAACATCTAAATTGACCCCCCAGAATAGTGTATCTCTCAACCCTTTTTGAGTACCTGGCTCTGCTTTCTCTTCTGTATGCTGTGGTTTCCATCCTGCATGTCATATCAGTCACCTGCCTTTCTATTATTTGTCCCTCCAACACGTTATGTTTCTCCCCTCATTCTTTTCCAGTTAAATTGTTTACATCATCTCACAACCATCACAGACGCCACCCGCTGGTTGAGAGGCCTCTCTCTACTACAACTATATGGCAGTATCGCCCAACATCCTGTCCCCTATGTCTCCACGTCTCTTCTTTACCACAGCACCACCGTGCGTTGGGCCTCTGCTGCCGCTGCCGTCCTATAGACCATCTTTTGTACAGAACCCTGACTCATTTGGCTTTCTGTAAAATAAACTTTCCATCCATCCATGTCAGCCATCCTTACCCTTCTACTCTGTAGTTCTTAATTTCATTTCCTGTCTTTAAATGTTTCTCTGTGTTTAATTTATTATTGAGCAGCTTTGAATAAAACCGAAAGCTCCTCTTCACAAACCTATGTTTTTTTTGTCTTTGATTAGACTTTGGTTGGCATTATGGTACTATGGTAGTAGTATTAGCTAAAATGTGCTTACATTTGGACAAAAGCACATCCACAGAGCTTCTTCTTTAAAAAAAAAAGTATCAAAATGTTTATTGACAGGGATAGACAAGAAATTAAGAGGGAGAGTGATAGATAAATATATTGTGTAGAAGTGCAGTGGGACAGGGATTTGACCCCACTCAGGCAGTGGATTGTAGAAGTCCAGAGGGCGGCGGCCATAACCTCTCGAACAACCTCAGGCATGCTTTCAACTTCTTTAACCAGTTGAGTTCAATTACATGGATTGATCTGAAACAGAAAATGTACCTGTTTCAGCATCCTCAGCATTCCCTGCTTCAAGAAAATTCAGAACGGAAAAACACAGTAGTCCCGAGGTCACACTTAGCTTAATGTTCAAAGCCAAAAAGATAATTGTGACTTGTGTAACATTGGGGATATTCTGTAAACATATAATTCAGTCATTTCACAGTCACACCATCTCCACATTGAGGTGAGGGAGCCGTTTCTTTTTTTGTTTTTTGGGGGGGGGGGGGGGGGGGGGGGTTAGGGTTAATATTGCAGATAGATTGTAACTTCCATCAATGTAATTGTCTGCATCACTTCCAATCCCCCATGTTTTTATGTATATATATATATATATAGTCAGCCACCAATTGTGCAAGTTCTCCCACTTAAAAAGATGAGAGAGGCCTGTAATTTTCATCATAGGTACACGTCAACTATGACAGACAAAATGAGATTTTTTTTTCTCCAGAAAATCACATTGTAGGATTTCTTATGAATTCATTTGCAAATTATGGTGGAAAATAAGTATTTGGTCAATAACAAAAGTTTCTCAATACTTTGTTATATACCCTTTGTTGGCAATGACACAGATCAAACATTTTCTGTAAGTCTTCACAAGGTTTTCACACACTGTTGCTGGTATTTTGGCCCATTCCTCCATGCAGATCTCCTCTAGAGCAGTGATGTTTTGGGGCTGTCGCTGGGCAACACGGACTTTCAACTCCCTCCAAAGATTTTCTATGGGGTTGAGATCTGGAGACTGGCTAGGCCACTCCAGGACCTTGAAATGCTTCTTACGAAGCCACTCCTTTGTTGCCCGGGCGGTGTGTTTGGGATCATTGTCATGCTGAAAGACCCAGCCACGTTTTATCGTCAATGCCCTTGCTGATGGAAGGAGGTTTTCACTCAAAATCTCACGATACATGGCCCCATTCATTCTTTCCTTTACACGGATCAGTCGTCCTGGTCCCTTTGCAGAAAAACAGCCCCAAAGCATGATGTTTCCACCCCCATGCTTCACAGTAGGTATGGTGTTCTTTGGATGCAACTCAGCATTCTTTGTCCTCCAAACACGACGAGTTGAGTTTTTAACAAAAAGTTCTATTTTGGTTTCATCTGACCATATGACATTCTCCCAATCCTCTTCTGGATCATCCAATTGCACTCTAGCAAACTTCAGACAGGCCTGGACATGTACTGGCTTAAGCAGGGGGACACGTCTCGCACTGCAGGATTTGAGTCCCTGGCGGCGTAGTGTGTTACTGATGGTAGGCTTTGTTACTTTGGTCCCAGCTCTCTGCAGGTCATTCACTAGGTCCCCCCGTGTGGTTCTGGGATTTTTGCTCACCGTTCTTGTGATCATTTTGACCCCACGGTGTGAGATCTTGCGTGGAGCCCCAGATCGAGGGAGATTATCAGTGGTCTTGTATGTCTTCCATTTCCTAATAATTGCTCCCACAGTTGATTTCTTCAAACCAAGCTGCTTACCTATTGCAGATTCAGTCTTCCCAGCCTGGTGCAGGTCTACAATTTTATTTCTGGTGTCGTTTGACAGCTCTTTGGTCTTGGCCATAGTGGAGTTTGGAGTTTGACTGTTTGAGGTTGTGGACAGGTGTATTTTATACTGATAACAAGTTCAAACAAGTGCCATTAATACAGGTAACGGGTGGAGGACAGAGGAGCCTCTTAAAGAAGAAATTACAGGTCTGTGAGAGCCAGAAATCTTGCTTGTTTGTAGGTGACCAAATACTTATTTTCCACCATAATTTGCAAATAAATTCATTAAAAATCCTACAATGTGATTTTCTGGATTTTTTTTTCTCAAGTTGTCTGTCATAGTTGACGTATTACCTATGATAAAAATTACAGGCCTCTCTCATCTTTTTAAGTGGGAGAACTTGCACAATTGGTGGCTGACTAAATACTTATTTTCCCCACTGTATATATATATATATATATATATATAGTGGGGAGAACAAGTATTTGATACACTGCCGATTTTGCAGGTTTTCCTACTTACAAAGCATGTAGAGGTCTGTAATTTTTATAATAGGTACACTTCAACTGTGTGAGACGGAATCTAAAACAAAAATCCAGAAAATCACATTGTATAATTTTTAAGTAATTAATTTGCATTGTATTGCATGACATAAGTATTTGATCACCTACCAACCAGTAAGAATTCCGGCTCTCACAGACCTGTTAGTTTTTCTTTAAGAAGCCCTCCTGTTCTCCACTCATTACCTGTATTAACTGCGCCTGTTTGAACTCGTTACCTGTATAAAAGACACCTGTCCACACACTCAATCAAACAGACTCCAACCTCTCCACAATGGCCAAGACCAGAGAGCTGTGTAAGGACATCAGGGATAAAATTGTAGACCTGCACAAGGCTGGGATGGGCTACAGGACAATAGGCAAGCAGCTTGGTGAGAAGGCAACAACTGTTGGCGCAATTATTAGAAAATGGAAGAAGTTCAAGATGACGGTCAATCACCCTCGGTCTGGGGCTCCATGCAAGATCTCACCTCGTGGGGCATCAATGATCATGAGGAAGGTGAGGGATCAGCCCAGAACTACATGGCAGGACCTGGTCAATGACCTGAAGAGAGCTGGGACCACAGTCTCAAAGAAAACCATTAGTAACACACTACGCCGTCATGGATTAAAATTCTGCAGCGCACGCAAGGTCCCCCTGCTCAAGCCAGTGCATGTCCAGGCCCGTCTGAAGTTTGCCAATGACCATCTGGATGATCCAGAGGAGGAATGGGAGAAGGTCATGTGGTCTGATGAGACAAAAATAGAGCTTTTTGGTCTAAACTCCACTCGCCGTGTTTGGAGGAAGAAGAAGGATGAGTACAACCCCAAGAACACCATCCCAACCGTGAAGCATGGAGGTGGAAACATCATTCTTTGGGGATGCTTTTCTGCAAAGGGGACAGGACGACTGCACCGTATTGAGGGGAGGATGGATGGGGCCATGTATCGCGAGATCTTGGCCAACAACCTCCTTCCCTCAGTAAGAGCATTGAAGATGGGTCGTGGCTGGGTCTTCCAGCATGACAACGACCCGAAACACACAGCCAGGGCAACTAAGGAGTGGCTCCGTAAGAAGCATCTCAAGGTCCTGGAGTGGCCTAGCCAGTCTCCAAACCTGAACCCAATAGAAAATCGCTGTACTTATTTCCCTCATTAAAATGCAAATCAATTTATAACATTTTTGACATGCGTTTTTCTGGATTTTTTTGTTGTTATTCTGTCTCTCACTGTTCAAATAAACCTACCATTAAAATTATAGACTGATCATTTCTTTGTCAGTGGGCAAACGTACAAAATCAGCAAAGGATCAAATACTTTTTTCCCTCACTGTAGAATGACACAAGTCTCTATCTTTCTGTCCTAACACACTTTCTTCTCTCTATTCTTTTCTATTTTCTCTTAACCTGCTTTCTGACTGCAAAGACCCTCTGTACCGGCAGCTTGAGAAAAACCGTCTTCTTTCCAATGAACTGAGAGTGGTGTTAAATCAGGATTAAACTATTACTGGATGTGTTGTGAATTTAGCACTGTGCTCAATAAATAAAAAAAACAAGGCGCTCTTCCTTTGTGGTGCAAAATTTAAATGCTTTTATTGTCTTGGCATGTCATTGGCCATAGACATTTGTCTGATGCTGTGATGGAAATATAGGCTAATGTGTGTCTCTGACACAAACCTAAGAGTTAGGCAAAGACCAAAATAAATAAATACTGGATAATATTTATCAGGAAGAAATAATTGGACTGTAGTTAATGCGGAGCATCAGAGAAATGAAATGCATGTTCACATAATGAAATGCATGCTCACATTGCAGGTAAAGAGGGCAGGTTTCACAGACTTACAGATGGATTTAAGAGTAGGCCTATTTTAGTTTAGTTAACCAACATCTGGAATTGTTATTTAATAAACAGCAATTCGATTTAGATAACATAAACTGGATCACTGTCTATACAGTGGGGGAAAAAATAATTTAGTAGCCAACCATTGTTGCAATTTCCACTTAACAATATGAGAGAAGGCCGTAATTTTCATCATAGGTACAAGTCACTATACAGACAAAGTGAGAAAAAAAAATCCTTGTAGGATTTTTAATGAATTTTATTTGCAAATTAATGGGGGAAAATTAAGTTATTTGGTCCCTACAACAATCAAGATTTCTGCGCTCACAGACCTGTACTTCTTCTTTAAGAGGCTCCCTGTCCTCGCCACTCGTCCCTGTATTAATGGCACCTTTTGAACTTGTTTCATTATAAAGACCCTGTCCACGGAACCTCAACAGTCACACTCCCAAACTCCACTATGGCCAAGACCAAGAAGCTGTCCAAAGGACAAACCAGAAACAACATTGTAGACCTGCACCAGGCTGGGAAGACTGATCTGCAATAGGTAAGCAGCTTGGTTTGAAGAAATCAACTGTGGGAGCAATTATTAGGAAATGGAAGACATACAAGACCACTGATAATCTCCCTCGATCTGGGGCTCCACGCAAGATCTCAACCCCGTGGGGTCAAAATGATCACAAGAACGGTGAGCCAAAAATCCCAGAACCACACGGGGGACCTAGTGAATGACCTGCAGAGAGCTGGGACCAAAGTAACAAAGCCTACCATCAGTAACACACTACGCCGCCAGGGACTCAAATCCTGCAGTGCCAGATGTGTCCCCCTGCTTAAGCCAGTACATGTCCAGGCCCGTCTGAAGTTTGCTAGAGTGCATTTGGATGATCCAGAAGAGGATTGGGAGAATGTCATATGGTCAGATGAAACCAAAATAGAACTTTTTGGTAAAAACTCAACTCGTCGTGTTTGGAGGACAAAGAATGCTGAGTTACATCCAAAGAACACCATACCTACTGTGAAGCATGGGGGTGGAAACATCATGCTTTGGGGCTGTTTTTCTGCAAAGGGACCAGGACGACTGATCCGTGTAAAGGAAAGAATGAATGGGGCCATGTATCGTGAGATTTTGAGTGAAAACCTCCTTCCATCAGCAAGGGCATTGAAGATGAAACGTGGCTGGGTCTTTCAGCATGACAATGATCCCAAACACACCGCCCGGGCAACAAAGGAGTGGCTTCGTAAGTAGCATTTCAAGGTCCTGGAGTGGCCTAGCCAGTCTCCAGATCTCAACCCCATAGAAAATCTTTGGAGGGAGTTGAAAGTCCGTGTTGCCCAGCGACAGCCCCAAAACATCACTGCTCTAGAGGAGATCTGCATGGAGGAATGGGCCAAAATACCAGCAACAGTGTGTGAAAACCTTGTGAAGACTTACAGAAAACGTTTGACCTGTGTCATTGCCAACACAGGGTATATAACAAAGTATTGAGAAACTTTTGTTATTGACCAAATACTTATTTTCCACCATCATTTGCAAATAAATTCATTAAAAATCCTACAATGGGATTTTCAGGATTTTTTTTTCTCGTTTTGTCTGTCATAGTTGACGTGTACCTATGATGAAAATTACAGGCCTCTCTCATCTTTTTAAGTGGGAGAACTTGCACAATTGGTGGCTGACTAAATACTTTTTTCCCCCACTGTAAGTCTATGACTGAAAGATTGTCCATTGTACAGGAGTAATTCTGGGCATAATCTGGGTCTGTGAAACTGACCCACAATGTATGATAAGGCTTGATATGAGTGTGCATTATTACAATATCTACTGATTGTGGTTGACTAAGGATATACACAGGGACCACCTTTTACCTTTTTAGCTATAACAATCTTCATTCAATATTATTGGGTCTGTGAAACTCTTGGTTAATTAAGTCATTTCATTGTGGTCAAATGTTATAAATGGTCTGCAGGCTTCCTTTTTATGTTACACACATAGTGATGAATTTAACATGTTTCATGGTACTGTATATTGACAGACAAACTCTATCAGGCTAATGATGAGAACTTTGGCATGAGTCAAATGTTGGATCAGACACTCATGGACCTCAATATAATGTAACAACATGGTCCATCATCACACAAACCTGCACTACTCACCTGCTCTGACCTGGTCCAGCATCACACCATGATCACACCAACACTTACCTGCCGTTGCCATGGAGGGCCCCTCCCTGCCCTCTTTGTGGAAATCTCTGGGGCTTGACTGTTTTCTCAGCTCTCAGAAGGGCTGAGAAAACAAACACAATGGACTTGAACTGGATGTTAGCTAGAAAACAAAGCAGACATAATATGGCTGAGCTGTCACTTGACTCATATACCATTTATTTTTGCATGTTAAAGTGAGATTTAGTTGACAAAATGTGCACTTGATTTATTAAAGCTATAATAATGGACAGGATCACTGTTGACTAATTAAGCCATAACCGAAGCCAAGGTTTAAAACGGGTACTTTTTTATTCTGCTTTTGTAACTTGTTCTTGAGTTATTTATTGTCCATGTTTCTTTATGTACATTCTTCATATGTATGTGCTGGTGCCTCAGTGATATATTGCAACGCCAGGGTTGTGGGTTCGATTCCCACGGGGGGCCAGTATAAAAAAAAAATTTATTCACTAACTGTAAGTCGCTCTGGATAAGAGCGTCTGCTAAATGACGTAAATGTGAATATACAGTACTTATATTTAAAAGAAAGTAAGCATGTGCAATATGTACACTGACATAATGTTTAGCGAGGAGGAAGGTACAGTGTGTTCATTTAATCTCAAATAGATCAACCTAGATCATTTCATGTCCAATGTCATCGCTGCGGGAATGTTTTTTTGTCAAATAGCATACATGTTTGATTTGATGGTGTCTCTTGTTCATTTTATTATGTGAATGTAATATACCATGCAAAAGTAAAACATAAATAAAAACCCACAAACATGCTGACATCTGTAATCTGTGCTATTATTTTACAGTGATTACACTTGTAGATAAGGGGTACAGTCAGAATCACAGTACACTCTCCACTAAGTCAACTGTGATTTTGTTGAAATGTATGTGACTTCTAAATGCCCTTTAGAAAGATCTGGAAGCAGATGTAGAGTGTGAAGACTACACTCTAGTGTTGGTGTGATGCTGCTGCACCATGATCATTATCTCGCTCTCTTAGGCTGCGTTTACACAGGCAACCCATTTCTGACCTTTTTCCACTAATTGGTCTTTTGGCCAATTAGATCAGCTCTTTTGCCCAAAAAATCAGAAATGGGCTGCGTGTGTAAACACAGGCTAATACTACTTTCAATGCATATAATCATTATAATCAACCAATGCGGTACCTCCTTGAATCAATTAATTTAAGAAGAAACCCCCCCCCGGATATTTCCAGGGCCATGCTTAGCCTACTATTTTTGTGTTATTTTGCTGTGATAAAGAAACTGCAAAAACCTTCTTTGGAGAAATAAAGTGTTGGTTATTATGAGGACAATTATTGCTCAAATGCCAATGTACTGACAATTTAAGCCATGAATATATGGCACAAAATATAGATATATACTATGTATATTCTAGGCAGATAAAGTGTACTCACCACTAGGTGGCAGTAATAGTGTATTTTCTCCCGAAAACTGCTTTCGATATTTAGCTATGCAATTTACATTAGCGAAAGGTCGAAAGACAAGTCCGTAGCTAGCTGCCAAGATCTTGAGAAGGAAATATGGATGGAAATACAGATTTTTCTGGCGTTTCAGATGAAAGCACGGCAGAATATATACTCAGTAATGTGGCAGAAGTAGTGGAGAGAATTTTGACGTTTGTACCAACCAAATCGCTGCTCCAAATTGCGTGGTAAGTGACTAGCTAGCTAGCTAACGTTAGATAGTTAGCTAGGTAGATTAGCCACGGTGTGTGCTATCTGGATTCCTTGGGACGTCCATATCCCCCCTGTTAGGGTTTAGGGTAGGGACGTCCCAAGGATTCCTATTAACACTGACCGATTAGCCACAGTCAGCTAGCTAGCTAACGTTAGCCAGCACAGTGTTTTATCAACAATGCACGTTTCAAGTTCTAAACAGGACTGGAGCTGAAGATATGTAGCTAACTAGCAATCTACACTAAATGTGTATGTCAACTGTATACGCTTTGCTTGCAAAATAGGCGTGCAGCCATGTGAGACTAGCAAACGCTAGTTAGCTAACATGTAGCACAACAGTTTATGTTAGTAATAATTATTGTATTACAGATTAGTGTCTGACTGATAAATTAGCTAAATTAGCTAACTAAGAAAGCTTGGAATCTAGCTAACGTTAGCTAGTTATCCCTAGACTGGTCGTAGGTATCATGTTCTTTAGCCAACTTCCTTGTCATGCCAGGATGAGTGAGAGCTAACGACGACTGTCTTCCTTATTGTGCAGTGTTTGCAGACTGTGGATGAACTGTGCACGGAGAGTACTGAGGGTCCAGCAGAAGTTGACGTGGGTGTCTGCCTCTGGACCGTCCAACTATGACGGCCATGCTCTCTGCCACAGCCTGGCTGAAGAAGTGGAGGTCAGTTTGACTACTGAAAATACACAAGACATTACAACAGGGTCTCTTTCAGGAGGACATTCATAAGTTATTGATAGAAGTGTCATGAATAGAACAGACATGATTGCATGCCAGAGAGTAATCTCTCGTGTACAGACTACATAAACATAAATGGTACGTAGATCTGTCATTGGAATTGTGAAAAACTGAGTTTAAATGTACTTGGCTAAGGTGTATGTAAACTTAGACTTCAACTGTAAATGGTACCGTAGATCTGTCATTATACTATGAGCACTGATTGATAACGAGCAGCAATAGTTCCGGTGCTTGGGTTTTTCCTCACTGGTTTTATATTTGGACAAATCAAGATTTCGCAGGTGTTAGCATTCTTCTAATTTTGGAAGGGGAGGGGACATTTGGCCCATATATTTGCACGTAACTTGCAAAGAGAGAGGGTGGATCTCCTCAATCCGGTTCCACTCCTCGTTCTAGCATCTCTTCTCTTAACATGTACAGACCCAGAACTTAATCGAGCATCTGACCAATTATGCAAGACTTTAGTTCTGGGTTAACCGAGATTAGCCAGAGGCATGTTTGTTCTACATAATGCATATCTTTCTGTATGCTGTTGGCTAGTAGAACACAGTAAAGTTATAGCCTGGCACCTACAGTGGAACAGTGGAAGACAGTCTGTGTGCAGTATGTGGAGTCAGACATTATTGAACACTGTAGAAACACTTCTCTCTTAATGTTTGCAGAATGTATACCTGCTGCCCAAAACAGTCTTGGTTATGGTGGACAGCGAGACCGTCAGTGGACAAGACTCTTGTTACAAGCAGAAAAAGGGTAAGACGTTACATTTACTACTCTGTAATAAAGCACACTGTATTAATCCAGGTCCGAGAAGTAAAAAGTACAGTGGCCTCTTATCTACTAGCTAACTTCCATTTAGTTTATGTTACTAAACACTTGTAAGTTGTTAAAAGTTGTAGGCCAAGTTGTGAAACCTGCTGCTTATACTAGAGACTCGGTCAGTAACAATCTAAATGTAAGGCATGTTTTGACCTGTATCCCCTCTTGCAGCACGCAAGACCCACCACAGTCCAGACTCAGTGGAGGAACTGAACAGGCTGTTCCCCAATGGATGTGACATCATGGGCATCGCTACTCCTGGCGTCGTCTGTAAGAACCACAGTATTTTCATATTTCCCTTCCTAATCCCTAATAACCAGAACACTGTGTGGTAACTACTTCATGTATTATAATATGTTATAACACGTCATTTTCCTTCAACACTAACCTCCGATAGCTAGCCATAATTCACAGATTAATAATATCACAGATGAATGCGTCACCTGTCAACAGGGGATGGTCCACATTAATCTCCCCCTGCCTTATTAGCATAAGGTGCTCTGCTCTGCTTTGGAGCTAGGAAGGGAAGCATGGGGACTCTTATGTCGATCGATAGCCTAGTCTTCCAGGACTGACAACAGGATCTGTGCTCTGTATTCCTCTATATATTCACTAACCTAGAGAGAAGTGACACTTCATCAACCAAGTATGCAGATAGTATCTCTGCTCGTGAACTAAAAATCTAGCTGGGTAATATTGATTTGTTATTTGTTAAATGGTGTTTAGTCACATAGATTGAGTGCTCAGAGAACCAGAGAGGTGGAAAGCAATGCAATATGTTAAAATGCATTAAGGTTAGCTAGCTAACTACTTTAAATGTACATCATACAAGTGATAAATTACCAATATAAGGAAATAGGACATTGGTTGACAGTATGATTTGTCCGTTTACCTTTTCCCACAGTAACCCTGAAGAAGGCATTTACCAAAACGTGTTGGTTTTAACCATAAAACATAGATATTTTTTATTCCTCCCAAGAGTTGCTGAGTGTCTTTTCATCTTCCCCCACAGTAACCCCCAGTGGCTCCCACTCGGGTCCACCGAAGGAGTTCCAAGAAGGAGAGGCTGGCTACGCTATCATGTTCCCTAGGATGGAGGGAGTGGACATCCGCCCCTTTCACTTCTGCAAGCGCACCATCTCAGAGTCACACCTGGAGGAAGCAGGTTGGTGTGACCGACTGGGAGTTGAAGTTATGATGACCAGTTCAGAAATATACCTTGCTCCGCTCTCCCACATAAGGGTACCACAGTCAACCATTAAGCTGGTCAGTACTGTCTTGTATTTTCAAGTGTCAGTGCAGGTCTTGTTCTAGCCCAATACAAACCCTGCAGTGTAAAGTTGATACTAGGATTAGTGTATGAGTGTGAGTGATAAATACCAATATTTACAGAAAAGAGATGGCAACAAACATGTCTACAGTATGCTAAACACATCCTTGGCTCTAGCCAACCGTCCACCATAATATGATTATCTCTCTGAACTCTCTTTGTTGTCATCCTGTCCCCTCAGGGCTGGTGAATAACCCTGATCTGCGTGTGGTGCTGCTGTTTGGCTATGAGGCCTACAAACCTGGAGCGGCCCGCTTCCTCAACCAGGTCCTGGAGCCTTTGGCACGCAGCAAGGCTCTCATCGCTGGGGGCCATGTGGAGAATGTCTTCTCCCCTGAAAGAGAGTGGTGAGTACCTGAGTGATCTGCAACTGTTCTTTTCAATGCTGAGAAAGGTCAGGAGTTCCCAAACAGGGGGTCATTTTATTGCGACCTCCTAGTAATCTACCCAGCGGCAAAACATATTTTTTAAGGTGGTGGGGGTCCTCAGCCGGATGCTCATCATATTCAGAGGGCCTCGACATGAAACGTTTGGGAATCCCTACTCTTACTATGCAGCTGTGACTTTGTTTTTGTCTGTCCCTCCGTCTTTCTCTGTAACTGTTGCTGGGGAACGTGTGACGGGGTAGGTCTGGCCCTGAGCGGTCCCAGGGTTAGGGTTTAGCTCAGTGTATTACTATACAGCTATGTGACTGTGGTCTGTCTTTCTCTGTAGCTGTGGCCAGGGGTCGTACGGCGTGGTGGGTCTGGCTCTGAGCGGTCCCAGGGTCCAGGGGGCCAGTGTTCTCCTGGAGCAGGACGTGAGCAGCCCCAAGGAAGCCGAGGCCACCATCCGGAGGCTGAAAGCCGCCAACCTCCCAGAGAGGAACACCCTGGGCTTCATGTTCGCCTGCGTGGGCCGCGGACACAACTATTACAACAACCAGCGTAACGTGGAGGCTGACACATTCCGCAAGGTGTTCCCCAACATCCCACTGTTTGGCTTCTTTGGTAACGGGGAGATCGGGTGTGATCGTATCGTGAAGGAGGACTATACTCTGTGTGACACGGATACGGACAGTCTGCAGCATGGATACACCACTGTTATGACCCTAGTTCACCTTGGCTGAGGAGTCGATGGTCGTATTTACATTCAAACTGCAGTTTGTTTTGTTCACTTCAGGTTCCTATTGATTAGGTACGACACAGAAGAAAACCGTATGAAGCGGAGAGGTACTATCTTAACTGGCCCAATAAGAAACACCCGTTTTACGTCACAAAATGTTTTGAAACTGTGCGCCCTAATGAATACAACCCTGGTGTCTAGGTCAGACTAGCGATCAGGATCAACAACATTCTTGTTATCTCTCAGCGATGGTGGTATGTGATGGTGTTTGAAGTGGATTACAGCATGTAGATGTCTTTCTTTCAGTTGTGTTCAACTTTTCCCAATGTAAAGTTTTAAGTTTGTCAATTTTGGGGGGGAAATGCAATGTTTTATCTGCTGCGATAGAAGCAAATACTTACTTGATCATGCATTGATCAGTTTGAAACTTGAATAGGAAATATTGCTGATATGTTAGTGAGTTTAACAAGGTGCTGATGGGGAATCAGAGAAGAAAATACTGTCCATTCATCTCAGTCCTCTGTTACAAAATAATACAGTGGACTTCCCCATGTAAAACATTATTATCCCGATTACTCCCCAAATGTTATGCACATATTCAAAACATATAACTGAAACTAACTAATAATCTTGACCAGATGGTTTCTTATACCTTGTGGTGAAAAGTTACCAACACTTTTGTTACCCAATTAACAAATATAATTGTTATTAATTATTATAAATAATTGTTGAGAATACCGATCAGGCACTTTTTATTTAGGAAGATAAGGAAAGGAACATGTTTTGAACCTTTGAGAAAAATTTAGTTTGTCTTGATTTCAATGTTTTCTCCTGTATGTGCTTTGACACATGCCCCTCTTTTAGTGTTAGATATGGAGAAAACCTTTTTGAAATGCAATTAAATCAAGGCCTGTTCCTACTACCTTTTAGAAGACTATTTCACACACTGGGCAATTCCATGGTAATAGAGTGATGCTGAGACTCAGATGTTTCACTTGAAAATGTATGTCAAACAAAAACCAATGATTGCAAAGTTTAACAAACCATACAACTCTATGCACAAGGATGACTTTTGACAAATTCCACAGAAAATTTTACAAAAACATATACTTGAAGAACAGTGCAGATGCAAAGTTTGGTAACAGAAAGAGGCTTTGTGCTGTTGGTGCTGTCATTCTGTTAACGTGGAATTGCCTCACTAGTTCTATTTACTCAAATGGATTCCGTGGTTTAGACAGAATCTTTCTCTCTGCTGTGTCGTTCATACTACCTTGTAAGGTCATATTTCTTGCTTCATTGGAACTGATGGTTTTAAAATTCATGTTATTATTTTACGTGTTCCACTCTCCAACAGGGTATTCCCGCTATTATATGATTTGTGTGTACAAACATAGTTTTGTAGTCGGGATTCTGTACAATATTCTGCTTCATTCATTGAATTTACGAACATATTATAATTCTGAAGACATTCCTTATGACAGTATTTGTTTTGTTTTCTGAAGGTATGAACATATGAAAAAAGATGTGGAAGTTCAAAACAGTTCTTTGGAGATGAATGTGCAATTTTACCAACCTATGTGTTTGGCTAAATGGGTTTGATTGCTTACTTCTTTTTTTTGTTTAGAATAAGCTATGGTAAGGTAGAACTTTGCAGCATAGCATACAGGCTATTCTCCTGATACTCTTTAATGGGGGAAATGGAAGATCACTGTTCATAGTTTTCTGTGACCTAACTTTTCCCAAATAATACTATACACTCTGCTAAGGTTTTCATCTGGATAACTAACTTTGCTTTATAGCAGATATTTTAGGAACATTGTCACCTTATACACTTTCATTATGTTCATTAGACAACACAGTTCAGTATACAGTGGCTTGCGAAAGTATTCACCCCCCTTGGCATTTTTCCTATTTTGTTGCCTTACAACCTGCAATTTGGGGGGTTTGGATCATTTGTTTTACACAACATGCCTACCACTTTGAAGATGCAAAATATATTTTCTTGTGAAACAAACAAGAAACAAGACAAAAAAACAAAACTTGAGCGTGCATAACTATTCACCCCCCCCAAAGGCAATACTTTGTAGAGTCACCTTTTGCAGCAATTACAGCTGCAAGTCTCTTGGGGTATGTCTCTATAAGCTTGGCACATCTAGCCACTGGGATTTTTGCCCATTCTTCAAGGCAAAACTGCTCCAGCTCCTTCAAGTTGGATGGGTTCTGCTGGTGTACAGCGATCTTTAAGTCATACCACAGATTCTCAATTGGATTGAGGTCTGGGCTTTGACTAGGCCATTCCAAGACATTTAAATGTTTCCCCTTAAACCACTCAAGTGTTGATTTAGCAGTATGCTTAGGGTCATTGTCCCGCTGGAAGGTGAACCTCCGTCCCAGTCTCAAATCTCTGGAAGACTGAAACAGGTTTCCCTCAAGAATGTCCCTGTATTTAGTGCCATCCATCATTCCTTCAATTCTAACCAGTTTCCCAGTCCTTGCCGATGAAAAACATCCCCACAGCATGATGCTGCCACCACCATGCTTCACTGTGGGGATGGTGTTCTCGGGGTGATGAGAGGTGTTGGGTTTGCGCCAGACATAGCTTTTTCCTTGATGGCCAAAAAGCTCAATTTTAGTCTCATCTGACCAGAGTACCTTCTTCCATATGTTTGGGGAGTCTCCCACATGGCTTTTGGCGAACACCAAACGTGTTTGCTTCTTTTTTTCTTTAAGCAATGGCTTTTTTTCTAGCCACTCTTCCATAAAGCCCAGCTCTGTGGAGTGTACGGCTTAAAGTGGTCCTATGGACAGATACTCCAATCTCCGCTGTGGAGCTTTGCAGCTCCTTCAGGGTTATCTTTGGTCTCTTTGTTGCCTCTGATTAATGCCCTCCTTGTCTGGTCCGTGAGTTTTGGTGGGTGGCCCGATCTTGGCAGGTTTGTTGTGGTGCCATATTCTTTCCATTTTTTAATAATGGATTTAATGGTGCTCCGTGGGATGTTCAAAGTTTCAGATCTTTTTTATAACCCAACCCTGATCTGTACTTCTCCACAACTTTGGCCCTGACCTGTTTGGAGAGCTCCCTGGTCTTCATGGTGCCGCTTGCTTGGTGGTGCCCCTTGCTTAGTGGTGTTGCACTCTGGGGCCTTTCAGAACAGGTGTATATAGACTGAGATCATGTGATGGATCATGTGACACTTAGATTGCACACAGGTGGACTCTATTTAAGTAATTATGTGACTTCTGAAGGTAATTGGTTGCACCATATCTTATTTAGGGGCTTCATAGCAAAGGGGGTGAATACATATGCACGCACAAGTAATTTTTTTCATTTCACTACACCAATTTGGACTATTTTGTGTATGTCCATTACATGAAATCCAAATAAAAATCCATTTAAATTACAGGTTGTAATGCAACAATATAGGAAAAACGCCAAGGGGGATGAATACTTTTGCAAGGCACTGTATATCACCTAATGTTACCACACAACCATTCTGTGTAGAGCTAATGGGATTCTTTTAAAATGGTTATTTAAATAGTTTTCTCTGTCTTTAATATGATGAGCAAAATGTTTAAGGTTACAAGCACTTTTCAACTGTATGTGTGCCAAATTATATATGTTTGATTTATTTCAAATTCAATAAATGACTGCCATTGAAATGTCTCCTTGCTCTCTTGCTTTCTCTCTCTCTAACCCCAGCACAAGAGTCACATACGTGGACTCTTCAGGTTTAGGTATCCATGTACTGATATTAACATTTAAATGAAAGATTAATAGAATAGTAAGCCTCCCATGTATATATAGTCTTCTTATATAACAGGCCCAATTGTTCAGAATTGCTCTATCATAGACTACAATTATTTCATATCGACCATTTCCTTCATTTCCGAAAGCCTAAGCTCCTTGACAAGCAGGCGTGTTTGATAAAAGGCTGCGAAGGCTCTATAAGATTGATTGATGTGCGCTCTAACCATCGACTGGCCATTCCTGGTGAATGACAAACTGTTAAGCCAATTGGTAGAAAGATCATTTATATTCCCATAGTATCTTGAATGTAGAAAACGATAAAAAACCTAAAGCCTATGTAGATTGAGAAAGGCAACCCAGGCATAAAGCTATAGGCCTACAATTCAAGAGAGGTGACTGAACCTCAGTTTTCATTCGGTTATCATCAGGATTTGGAACTAGAACCCCCCTTTCAGAATCCACGGAGAGCAAACATGTGAGTCGTGACCGAAGCAAGCAATGACACTGTTATAGCCTAAGATACTGCCACTATTCGGCATGAAAACAAACGGCAATGTTTTTGACGTCGTTTCGCGAGGATTAGGCTACTATTCTCGGTTTTGCGAGGGAGAGAGAGCCAGGTATCCCAGCGCGGCACTAGAGAAGCCGGAGGTTAATCACGTTTTCAGCACCTGGACAGCTCCTTCCGCAGCAAGGAGTCCCTTCTGCGATCGCGGGGGAAGCCCTCAACCCTCACTAGTAAATCTGGAGCGGTGTAGCCAACACAACACACACAACGTTCTGACCTTTCTTCCTCCTCTCTCTAATGATGCTGTTAGCTGGTTATTTGATGGTCAGTCAGGGACACTTAATATGATTTTGCTGAATGACGATAGTGCTTGCATTTCGGCTCCAGTCTTTTCGTTTTGCTCAGGATTCTAAGCAGCAGCGGCGGCAGGGGTGCTTGTCCAATGTAAAAGTGCTCAGGAAGGCAGCAGCCTACACATCGCCACGAGCTTGGAGCACGAGCCTCACTCACGCTGATCATCACCGAGGGAGACATTATAACGAGCACGCGGCCAACGGGAGGCTCGATTAGACTGTCAACAATGTAAATCAAGACAGGTAGGAAGGTTATTCTTTGGTTCAACTGAATAATAGATTAGTTGTACATTGCCGGGGCTCTCCTCGGGTGTAGACTACAACGGGGACAACCCTGCTTTACGCACTAGGCTACTATAGTCTCTCCAGTCTGCTTCTATATTCAGGTACTACAGCGACTAAGTATAGTCCTAACGTGGATTAATGCTTGGCTTAGTCCGTTTCAATTACTATTTCCAGTAGGATTACATTATTATTAGTTCCCGAAGAGGGAGGGAAAGATTTGCATGTCAGGCTACCTGTCAGTTTGGTTTTGACGTGGATATGGGGCTGAGTTGTGCTTTGAATTTGATGTAACAGAAAAGCCTTGTAAAATGAAGCTAAATTATGAAGTAAGGGGGCCGTTAGCCTACTTTACAATTCAATGAACTGTGTGAGACCCAGGGCATGTTCCAAATGGCGTACATAGGGTCACTTAAACGTAGTGCACTATATAGTAAGTAGGGTGCTATGTGAGAAGCATTCCCACAGAAGATCAGAGGAGAGATGGATCTGAACTGATAGGCTACTGTAGCTTATTAAGGTCATGCAGAGACCAGTGGACAGATCTCTACTTGATATTTTGTGCTGATCAGGCAAAGCACAGTCTATGAACTCTCAACATTCAAACGCAGTGGTCGAAAAAGGGTATTCAAGAGAATTTGCTCAACATAACCCTTAATACAGTAAGTTGGGATGTGCTGACAACCTTCAGTTGTTGTAGTCTTTAGAAGAAGTCTCTCAATATACCTTCTCACCAGCACCATCTGAAATGTAATGAGATGCAACACAGAAAGATTTGACCTGTAATGTCTCTCACATCTTCTCCATTTAAAAGTATTGGTGCTGTAGTGTATGTCTTGCATTTAAAGTGTTATTGAATGACTCATACATAGCCTACCATACTCTCAGGGGGTTGCCATAATAATGTGTCACTGTCTGTCAACAATCATATCTAAATAAAGACCGAGCACCTGGGTAGGTTTTCACTCATGCATGTCCTGTGTCGAGCGTAATGGATTTTCACAGAAATAACTCAACAATGGACTCATTCTATGGTGAGAGCAGCTCTTCATGAGTATTATCCACCAGACGTGCAGGTGATGTGCTCTTACCATAGACATAGAATAAATCATCTTTTACTTTGAAGAATTGCCGCTGTAGGTTACTCTTCAAGCTACAATTAT